ATTCAACTGGAAGGTGAAGGGGATCAAAGGCTGGGGAGCATTCGGATGTGAGACCAGATGCTGCTGAATAGCGACCATCTGAGCCTTGTGCGAGTTCAACTGCGCAAAGAACGCGACGTCGAGAGGCTGGGTTGTCAGGAAGAACCACCGGTACATACAGTAGCACCGGTACGCTAGTTCAATGTTTCTTGCGCGGATTCGGATCTCTGATGTAAATTGATTGTTTGGCTGGTGTCTGGGTTCGATAGTGTACTGCTCTGGAGCGGGCTGTTCGTGATATGCGATCGGGTCGTAGCCAACCGGATTGGGCTTGTTCCCGCTTCGCCGCCAGGTTCTGGGAGGCGCTGGAGGTAGCGGCGGATCTTGAAAACCGATCTCTTGATCCCTGGGAGCGAGAGCTGCATCGACGAGAAACGCTATAGATTGATAGAAGAAGGATTTGGCCCTTTTACAATGGTGCAAGGTCTCGAAGTCTGGGAAATGCCCCAGCCAGTGAGGTTGCGGATACGCCTGCCAACTGGCGACGTATTGTCTAAACCATGGGGCCGTCACTTTGGCCACGAAATTCGCAGCCTTGTGTTCCTTCAGTGGCCCGGCGATGCCTGCAATTGGGGGTTGGAAACAATCCACCATGTCATGTAGGTGGCCCCGCCATTGTTCGTGACTGTATACGGTTGCAGCCCACTGAGCATGAGCTCGGTGATGCCATGGTCGCCACGTCGCTACGGCGTGACGCACCAGGCTGAGGTCGGCGCGTGCCGTCTGCATGTCGTTCTGAAAGTTGGCTGTCATCAAGTTCGCGGCAGCAACATCCCATCTGGTGTGTTCGTAATATTTGTTCAAATCAGTCGGCGTTACTACAGTCCCTGGCAGGAAGAGTGGGCATTGTAAGGCCGGCTGGCCAAAGTTTCTGACATGGATGTTCCAGAAAATGGGATCGCTCAGGGAACGAAACCAAAACACCGGCTGTGTGTACTTTGTATCCTTCCTGTATGCCAGAGGGTCTGCTGGCTGATCGGGGACGACGTGTACAATGGCACTGAAGCCGTTCATCGAGATGTGAAATTCGGGGAAAAAGGTCGAGTACGCGTTGAAGAAGGGTCCAGAGCCGGCCACGGGTCCGCGCAATGACATGTATCTTCCTAGTCTCAGTGGCGCATTTTCAACAGCATTTCCGAAGAAATTATGGATAAAGGAGTGGCCCAACTCGGCCATGCGTTCTCCATTGAAGAACTGGAGAGCACTGCTGTTAATTTTCTTTTCTTTCAAGGATTGTATCTCCAATGAACCTCACCATTTGCTCGCGGCCAGCCGACCAACCTTTCAGCTTAAAGATTTGAAGGACCAATATGTGCTGTGGCGTGGTTCATCAGTATGGACTAAAGCATATCTTCCTGAGTACGCATAAGAACTACTTTGTACTTACCATGAGTTCATGGCTTATCTGGAAGATTACCGTGTTAAAAATGGCAGCTGTGAGGAGCACGGGGAGACATACTGTAATAGCCAACATGGCTCTCGCGATGTAGCGAGAATGCGACGTAGCGTTGGGGTTCAACATGGTCCGTAAGGGTTCTACATCGACGAAGGCAGCAAGATGATTGACATAGTAACCGAATCCCGAATCTGAAACAAGATCTGGTCTTGCGTTGGTACTTGCAAATCCCATCCAGACCCTGCTACGGTCATCCGTGTCAGCATACAAATGCCACAGTGGCTTTTGTGTCGCAAAAAGACCCTGAACATATTGCTTGCACTGCTCTTCTGTCTTGTCTGACCGATTTTGATTCAGGAAGAACACGGGCACTGGAGCATTCGGTACCACTGGGAACTGTCGGCGGGCGTCTTGAATGTCACGAAACTCTGTGACCCAATTCTCTGGCGTTAAGAGCGCCTGCATCCTTCGTTGCAACATAGTGAGCAATTATGATGCTTAAACCCACCCAACACAATCGAAGGGTCAATCTCTTTGACAACTTACCATGGTGTCTTGAAGGACTGTAGAATGATGCGGTTGGCCAACTCAATTGACGTGGACAACGGACCCCAGACGGCCGGATTATCCACGCTCCAATCGTCAGCCATGCCAAATCCAGCTGCAGCCAATCCTGGTGAGGTTTCTATAATGGGTCTCTCGAATGAACACCACCGTATCTTTTTAAAAACGTTCAGCCAGCTGCTCTCGTTGACACACACGCTGACCTCTTCCAATCGGTTCTGGCTCCAGGCGGGATTATGGAGTGCTGCGGCCTCAAAGGTTCGCAGACCCAAGAAGTCCGTCATCTGAGAACTTTCCGAGTAAAACAACGCGTCCAGTTCAGGTGGCGAAGGCTTGTCCATAGGGATAGGATGATGAATGTCCAAGACATTCTGATGGTCTGCGGTCAGGGGATGAAGTGTCCGTGGATCCATTGGGGGGAAGGCCGGGTCCATGGCTGACCGTCCTGGTGGGATGAAGACCTTGTCTGTTGCAGTCCCATATTCCCGGTCCCAGGGCGAGTCACTCGCCGCCACAGTCCTGTACCCAAAAGGCATTTCGGTCGATTTCGAGCCGATAGATGTATGAAGGAGTCGTTATGTGAACGCTCAAGGCCATAGGCGGTCGGTGGTTGGTGTCAAGAGATGACGGAAATGCAAAGGCTTCCTGAGTTCAATCCGAGTCCTGTCGTGTCAGAAGCTCACGTTTATGAATCTCTGCGACGAGGATGAAAGAGAGGCAGCCCTTGTTTGAAGCCCAAAGAAATGGCACCTCGAGTACGGTTCTTTGTCTGGAGGCTCGAATCAACGCCTTATGAAAATGAGAGCCTCGACAAAGGACACGTCCAAGCCTGTAATGCATCATTCCGGTCATTGTTGGAAATGTTTCACTACTCTCTTTTGAGCTTACAGAGCGCTGCCCTGTATCAAGCACCAGGTGTGAGATGTATCTAGCCAAGAAAGCTATCAGCACAACTCGATCTAGCGGCTCGCCTTTAGGTGTCATGCCCTAGAATACAGTACGCCGAATGTAGTCCCAGCCAGGCAGCTTCCAGCAGATAGGCCCCGACGCCAAGGCCAGAAAACACGTTCATCGCCCCCAAGCGACCCAGCCAAAGGGTTGATGCACAGCACACATGACCCGGCCGGCGTTGCTCGGCGGCCCACAAGGCTGTGTGTATTACGCTGTGTCCCAGGGCCCTGATGGGCCAACATCCGAGCTAGGAGCCTAAACTTCTGGAAATCGGGGGATTTGGGACGTGGCGCAGTATCGAATCCTGCAGATCCCACCCCCTCCAACTGGCGATTTGTTCCAATAGGCTCATTGGAATGCATGTCGTTGGGTCACATCTACTGTGCCGCAGAGGTAACCAACGACGTTTGCTGACATCACAGGCATCAGTGGCCGTAGCATTCGCCCCGTCAGCACCACCACGACTATTGGTATCACCCAGATGGCCTCACAATTGAAGAGGTAGAGGGACAGTTAAAGGAGAAGGTGCCCCTCCCCTGGCCAAGGTCATTTTGGATATATCCTGCACATTCATATTCACCACCCACTACTCACTAGATCATTGTCATACGCTATTCACGCACATTTTTTACTTATACCTATCAGGCAATCCAAGTCATCATGACCTCCATACAAAGTCAGATTGAGGCCGCCGCGTCAAAGAACAGCGAGCTCCTCTCGATCCTGCGCGAGACAGACCACGCACCACCTTCTCTTCTCCAGCAAACCCGTCTCCTCCAGGACCTCACGACCGAGCTACAGTCCTCGGCCAAACGCTGCCGCGACCTGGAGCGCCGCCGCGAGTCCGAGCTCAAGGATCACGAAAAGTACCGGGACAGCGTGACGCGCCGCTTCCTGCACAAGGCCGTCGGTCGCTCAAATCAATTCGCCGACAAGGCGGCCAAGGAGGAGCGCGAGTACTTCGACGTCTTGCAGGCGGCGCAGCGCGAGACGAGCCTGCACGACTCGCTCAAGGAGCAAACAGACCAGGCGCAACAGGTCAAGACCGACCTCGAGCAGCAGGTCGCGCGGCACCGCGACGCGCAGCGCGCGCTCGATGAGTTATACGGCGGTATCTTTGCGGGCCCGACGCAGGGATTCCCCGAGGAGGACCGCAAAGAGCAGGACGGCAACCAGGCGCTGCAGGCGTACCATGAGCACCGCGGCAAGGTCGAAGCCGAGCAGCACGTCATTCAGCTGCTGTCGCAGGGCATGCAGAAGCTCAAGTACGCGCTCGAGAAGATGGAGAGCGCACTGAGCCACTCGCGCATGGACATGTTCGGCGGCGGCTCCATGGCCGACGCCATGGAGCGGAGTAGCCTGCGCAAGGCGGAGCAGGCCGTGGCCGAGGCCAGGATGCAGGTGCTGCGCGCGCAAAGGATGAGCCCTTTCGTCGGCGACTTGCCGGACGTCGACATCGCGCAGGGCAACATCATGTCGGACGTTTTTTTCGACAACATCTTCACCGACATGCAGTTCCACGACAAGATCAAGGCCAGCAGGGAGTCTGTTCGCAAGTGTGCTACTGTCATGAACCAGCTGGGCTCGGATGCGAAGAGTCGACTCAATGCACTTGAGGACGAGCTCAGGGAGAAGGAGGGGATTCTCGAGAGCACAAGACTGGCGTTGCAGAAGGAGAGGGAGGCCGTCTTTGAGAGGGTTCTCGGAGGGCAGTTGCCTCAGACGTCGTCAGCGAATTCGAATGCTGTCGAAGCTCCGCAGGGTGGCAAGGCCATCGAGGCTGGGCTGGTTTAAGAAGGCTTCATGATTTCTGTAACATAGCTGATACCACGCGCAATGATATTCTCAGGCGTTCGCTTTCACGACATTCTGCGTATGAGCCAAGTCTTGTGGACAGACTCCTACCACCTGCGATTCTCCTCATAGCCCCTGTTTTCCTCGTTACGTCTATCATCGTACCCTTGGTTCTGGCCGTAACCTTGGTTTTGATCGTACCCACGGCTCTGGTTCTGGCCATAAGCCTGCTCCTGGTCTTGGCCGTAGCCGCTGCCACCGCCATACCCCCTATCCTCCCGAATGTGACGATGCGGTTCGCGTTCACGCCTAGACGTCTCCGTCAGCTCCCGCAAATACTCAAATCTCACACAGATGCAGCGGGGACATGAACTTACGGGTCGTACTGCTCCATGTCGCCGTACTGATTGTCATAGAGGCTCTCAGCCTGCCTCTCTGCATGCCTCTTGGCCTTTTCCCTATAAATGTAGTCCAGCCCCTTGGTCTCGACGAGCTTGTCAACCTCGGCACCAGCGAAGCCCGCGAGCAGCTCCTTGGCGAATGCGTGGTGGACGGGCTCTCCTGTGTCTTGTCAGCCACGGCCTGTGCCTGTGGTGAGGGGACAATGCATACCATTTTTGCGCTGCCTGTCCTCGAAAAGCTTCATCGCCCCAAAGGCAGCGCCGCCGGCAACGACCTCATGGCTGAGTTTGGACTCATGGCTGCCGCCGTAGGCGTTGTCGTAGTTGTCTTTGGCCTCGTCTGTCTGCACATTAGAATGGTTCCAGGACATGGGTTAAAGCGGCTGACGAACCGAATCCGAACATTGTGGGGAAGGACTTGATCAAGGCAATTAATGTGTATATGACGAAGACGATGGGAGCAGTGCGTGAGCAATTGGGGCAAGTGGAAGAAGACGAGCGCACTCGGTTACCAAAGTCAGAATGCGCGGGCTCGATGGAGGTCTTATTCCTCGAAGCCAGCCCGCCCACAGCTACCCCTCCTAGAGGTCCCCGGATACCCTCCCGAAGCCTCGCTGGCGCGAAACAAGCTTTCATGGGCTGCCGACGGAGCGCCCCATCACGCCTCCACGTCCAAGTCGTAACAGCGCAGAGAGGGGGACGCGTCAACCACACGGCACCGGGAACTGACGCATGTTGGCACCCAGGCTAGCCCTGCAGCAGCAACCGCATCGCGGCCGAGTCGAGTCGAGAGGTGCTAAGAAGCAGCAGCATCGAGCTGAAAAGGGACCCCTTCTTCTCGGATAGGGTGCCGAGTCTGTTCCGGTGGCGAGCCTGGGTTGGTCGGTGTTGAGCCTCACGCCGCGCAGCGCACATGGGAGGCTGACGTGTTGCATGCGTGGGTTGGGTCCGCGTCCGGCACATCGGCACCGCCACTTGCGCTCCCCCAGGCCTTGAGCTAGTCAGTGATGGCGGCACCAGGGCATGGCAGCTGAACCAGCCTGATCTATTTATGCTCATATCTACGCCTCCTCAAGTCGGCCGCTGCCGTTGATCCGGGGTCCATGCCGACTGCCGTTCCGCGCCGATGGATGCGGGAGAGGCCGACAGGCGGCGATGCAAAGGTACGGAGGCATGAGGGGGTCGCTTGTCCTCCCGGGGCGGTGGGAGGTGTATTGTCTCGGCGCCTTCGAACCTATTCGGGTTCTTTGTCCATATGATAAAGAATCTCCCATAGGCATGTTTGACACGTCGAATTCTAGTCAGATCCATGAAAGGGTGAATTTATTTCATTCAGCTTCAATTGACCTCCCTCGGCCCTGATGAAAGGACCCCGAAACAAAGAAGCGCCTGCAAACGTCGACACGTGGTACGCCACCAAGCCCTCGGGATCCCCTCAAGCCTTGGCCTTTGCGAACCTCTCCCGGGTCCTCTTCACCCAATACTCCCCGTCGTAAATGGCGTTGACACTCTCCTTGTTCCTCACGGCGTCAGCCCACTTGGTAAAGTTGGGCGCCTGGTCGGCCAGATCCGCGATGATGGTCTTGGGCAGCAGTCCATATTCAGCAGACGAATAGACGCGCAGGATGAACGAGCCCGTTTGAACCTGTACAGAAACGTCAGTTCACGTCACTCATTCACCCACTCACACCTGACATCTCGGGGGTAAGAGGGTTGAGGTATTGAAGTGTGGGGACTCACCTCCGCACTCCACTCTCCCCCCAGTGGGGATTTTTGTTCTCTCCCCCCCCAAAAAAAGAGCGCGCCGGCCCCTTCAGAAAGGGGCCGCAACCCCCTTTGACGAAAAGCCGCCACCCTTGGGTCTTT